GGTCCCAGAAGATGGGCAATAGGAAATAAAGGTGGGCCTGGCTGGAGAGTTCACCTCATCGTGTTTTGATTGCCCCCTATGTCAGCTAAGAAGAGTGGGCTTGATTCGTGGGATAGATTCTTCCTGCTTGTGCCCAGGGAATGACCCCAAGGCAGGCCTGGTGCTCTCTGGGATGGTGATACTGATAAGAACATCTCTCATAGTTCCCCCTGTAGAAAGAACCATTGTTTATCTATATGATGCTTATTTTCCTGAAAATCAAAAATATTCTGTGCTGGCTGGACTTAGATCGTGTACACCTAATATCCTAGCAACTCAGAAGGCTGAGGTAGGAGGATTGCAAGTTCAAGGCCAGCCTCTACAAACTATCAAGACCCTGTCTCAAAAGTTTAAAAAGTGTTGAGGATGTATCTCAGTGGGAAGTGTCCCTGAGTTCGATCCCCAGTACCACAAGAAAAAAAAAATCTACCTTAAATGCAGGAATGCAAACATTAGAGACTTGGGATGCCCGTGGCTGTGAGGTTTGAATGAGCTGCCATTTTTGTAGTGGCCTACGGTGCCAGAATTACCTTGATAAGGTTTGGGCAGAGGAGGCCTCAAGGCTGGTGTCCCACAGGGAGAAAGGTGCTCCTGGGCTTACAAAGGGTGCTGAGCCCAAATATCCCCACTTCCCATCTGCTGCCTTCTGGAGGCCTGTCACTCTTGTAGATGTCCCCGTGACACCAAAGCCACATTCCTTCTGCTTTCTACATCCGAGCACTCTGGGCCATTGTTGTCTTCAGAGCACCCTGAGCACCATTCAGATCCACTGCCTGCCATGGCAGGAACTCCTGAAGTTCATATCCATCCCCTGCTCACCACTCTCTGTGGCTTCTCACTGCCACCAGAGTTGACATGCTAGTTCTTTGTCAAGCATTCAGGGTCGCTGCTTAAGGAACTACTTCTCCACGCCTGCCACTTACTTCTCCTCTACCTGTGGCCTCCGCTTGTACCAAACCAAATGCCTATCCCTCTTGCCCCCAGCCTTGCTTCAACCTCATCCTGAATGGCCCCAGAACAAACACCTACTCGTCCTTCAGAACCCTCCCAGTGCTGACCCTCGTGAGACCACACTACATTCTCTCCTGTAGATTCCAGCCACTCTCCTTCTGGCCTGCCTCACTTCCCTGCACTCTGCTGAGCAGGTTTGTACCATAGTTCTGGAGAATTCTTCTGGGTCCTCTCTTTCCCCAGCAAGAACCCCTCAAGGGCAGGAAATGCATCTCATATGTAGCCCCAGTTGCTCTGTGAATGTTTGTAACTAGAGAGGGGAGATTGTAGAGGTCTGGTTCCAGGGATGCCTGTGCTGCAGGGAGGCTGGGCTTCTTCTTAGATCTTTGCTGGTGCCTGGAGGGTGTCCTCACTCCCACTCTGGGTGCTGCTGTGACTTGTGCCACGCAGAAACAGGGCCTGGCTTCCCAGGTGGGCTGTCTGGACAGGAGTGCAGGGGCGTAGCTGCTCACGGCATTGCTGTGATGTAGCCCCCGTCCTGGATTCTTCAAGAACAAGGACACACAGGTTCTGAATTGTCGTAGAATTTAGGACACTGTTTTTTGTCAAAGACATTTAAAACTCAAGCTAGAAACAAGTTATTCCCTTTTCTCCAACTGTATTTGCAAATTCTTTGGTCAGTATAAAAGTTCAAGTTCAGTGTCTCCAGATTTAAAAAGCATTCAGCTGTTGCATTGGCCGGGAATCGAACCCGGGCCTCCCGCGTGGCAGGCGAGAATTCTACCACTGAACCACCAATGCTCCTGCTGTCAACAGCTGTGAGGCACCTCCCTTTAACTCCCTTCAACCTCCTTGAGTATATGCTGAGTCACACACAGACTGAGACCAGTCTCTGGTGCTGCCACATCAGCACAGCTGAAAGAACAGAAAGCATAGGCTTCAAAGCAAGAGGGAGCAGGAACCAGAGTGGGCGTGAAGTTGACCTGTTGTCAGGCCTCCAGACAGAAGCTAGAGCTCTAGCAAAAGCACGCTGAGATTCTGGGTGGCTGTCCCCTCTAATGGTCGGGTCTTCCCATTCCCTCCCCTCCTGTGTTGAGCCATTTTACTGCTCTCAGGTTTCACACCATCTTCCTGCTGGTGACAGGCCAAGGCTGAGGGCAGCACTGTGGGTGTCCCTCTCCAGCTGGATACATGAAAATGGCTCCTGCAGTTTCTCTGGAGAGCCCAGAGGCTCTGCCTGGGCTCACTGTGAGCCCAGATTCACAGGCGCCTTTTGGCTGCTGCAGGCCTGCTATGCTTGAGGAGCCTGGCTCTTCTCACAGCATCTCTGTGAGGAAACTGGCCAGGAAGAGCAAAAAAAAAAAAAACACTGCACTGCATTGGCCGGGAATCGAACCCGGGCCTCCCGCGTGGCAGGCGAGAATTCTACCACTGAACCACCAATGCTCCAGCTGTTCTCTGGGACATCTGCAGAGGCCTCCTCACTGGGCTGTCTGTAACACTCAGAAGCTCTGGCAAATCACTGGCCCTCATGGGGCTGGTTTGTCAAGTTTGGGTGACAAGACAGGTTTATGTGGATCCATTCTTGCCAGTCATAAGGAGTTACTCTGCTTCTTCCGAAGTTGGGACCTGTGAACTCTAGTGTTCAGCTTCCATTCAAGGTTCTCCTTGGCTCACAGATAACCCTTAGCCCCAGAAACATCAGAGCAGGAGATACCTCACAGGTTATGTGTGCAACTCATTCCTGAAGCACCTCTGCTCCACCATCCACCAGCCTAGGACCTGGCATACAGAAGGTGTTGCATATGACTTGCTGGCTAAATCTTTAAACCCCTGTCCAGTCTGTCTGTGAAAAGCCTTGTTGCAGGAGTGGTCACTGTCCCACAAGATAGCATACATGTGTTTGAACAGCTCTAATTTCTAGGAAGTTCCTGGCTTAGAGCTGGAACCACAGAAATAGATCTACCTTTTGGACAAAATTCTTTAAGGTAACTAGAAATTCTCATTTATGCAACAGGCAGGCAGTGTACCCACTGAGCCTGTAATGCAAAGCAACCAGAGAAGGAGTCTGAGCAGTTACTTTTTAAAGTTCCTGATGTCTGGCTGCCCTCTGCCCTCTACTAGTTGCTCCTCACACTACCCCCACCCACCACACACACCTCCCAAGCATCTGCAGGCTTCATAAGACAGATGCTTAAGGCTTCTCCCCAAAACCCAAAGGAAACTTCCCCTTTACCATGATGTGAAATCCATTCTCGCTAATTGGATGTGCTGGACCCACCCAGCCAGCCTGTCCTAGTGTATGTCCCTCTTCTCTTTTGTCCACTGAGGTTGATTAGCTGCCTGCCCCTCACCACCTTTGCTCCCACAGTTCCTTCTGTTTCTACCTCCTTCAAGATGGGCTCAAATCCCACTTCTAGGACAATTGTTCTGACCTCTTGAGCCATGGCTCCCATGTTAGCATCTGGTGTCTCATGCATGATTATCCCATGTGAGGCTTCCCACTGCAGAGGTACTGTGAGCTTCTGAAGGACACAGGCTTGGCCTTCATGTTCCCAAGACTCTGAGGGCAGAGATATCAGCTCTTCTCCACATATCTTGAGAGGCATCCCCTGCTCCCCTTGCAGACACATGCTCCTACCTGCTGCTCCTCCTCCCCATCAGCAACCCAATCTGCAATCCACACCTTAAAGGCACCATCTGTCCTTCCTCCCCTTCCCTGTATTACAGAGGCTACTAATGCTTTTCTGTTTAATTCTAGAAACAATCCTATGCTCTCTCTCTTGCTGCCCTGACCACATTCCAGACCCTGTTTATCCTGAGAGATGCACTGTTCTGAAAGGTCTCCTACTATCAAACCAACCCCAGCCCATCTTCTCCAAACTGCAGCCAGTGGTAGCTAATGAAAGCCTAGGTCGAGGATGGCACGCCTTGGCAGGAAAGCTGCTAGGGGTCCTCTTTTCCTTACCTGTCTCCTTCCATCCTCCCAGGCACCTCATCCTCCTCTGTCATCTTGTACCTTCTCAGCACTCCCAGCCTTTGTTCAGGCTCCCTTGTGCTCGACATGCCCCTGCTAAGGTTTGGATGTTGTGTGTCCCCCAAAAAAGTCCATGTATTAGGAGGAGTGTAAGAGGTGGACACTTTTTGAGGTGGGGCCTAGTGGGAGATCCCTAAGACAATGGGGGCACTAGCCCTCCAAGCGATTAAAGGTGCTGTCCCACCACTCCTTGGTCGTTCTCACCAGAGGGCAGTTCAAGGCTGAGCCTGGCTCTGCCCAGCTCTGACTTCCTCTGTGACCCTTCCTCCCAGATGTGTTCCTACTGTTGCCATTCATGAAGTGACACATCCAAAGAGGGCCTTCACTAGAACTAAGCTGATGCAGATGCCATCCCTTTGAACCTCCAGAACTGTGAACATTTTTCTTCATAAGTAGCCTGCCTTCCTCTCTTTAACTTCAATATACCTGTTAATGTTTTTAAAATGGGACTCAAATGGGACCTCCCTGTCAGCCCTCCTTGACACCCAAGGAGAGTTAGCCTATTGCATGTTCTTGTATCTCTGGTAGTATGCACACCACTTTGCTGCAACTACTTTTTTGTACCTGGATCTTGCCCATTAGACTGAGGCCTGATTCCCCAGCACCGTCTTTGGTGTAATGGCACTGATGCAGGGGACTTTGTGGACATATGACTATGAAGTGGAACAAGTATTCAGTCAACATGGTTGATCAACTGATAGTGCATTATATTTTTGGTCCCAAGGAGACATTGATTTGCGTTCTCTCAGATTCCTGGAAGCGAGACAGTGCTGCTGTTCCTCATTCCTTTGTACTCAAAGGGAAACAGAGTAGGGAAACAGCCCGTGGCAGAACTGAGAGGATGTGACCTGACAGCTGACTCCCAATTCCTCTTTCTAAACAGGTCATCTCCCTTCCTCGTCCCAGCCCAGAGTCCACCACAGCAGGTAGCCTGGTCCCACCAATCCCACAGCCCCGTCTCCTCTCTCTCCAGGCTGGTGCGGGAGTTCGTGGCCCAGAACAACACCGTTCAAATCAAGCATGTGATCCAGACCCTGTCTCAGGAGTTTGCCCTGTCCCAGCACCCTCACAGCCGGAAAGGGGGCCTCATTGGCCTGGCTGCCTGCTCCATCGCCCTGGGCAAGGTAGGCCTTCCCTGAGGGACATACACCGGTGATGGCCTTCCCGCTGAGATGCAGACAGCTTTCTTCCCAAGACCAGCAGGGCACTTCGTGCTTCAGACCAGCAAGGCTGCTTTGTGACCTTGCAGCCATGTCCCCAGGCATGGCCCCACTCCTGAGAGGCTGGCTTGGGAAGGGTCTTTGAGCCCATCCCTTGCACAGAGGCTAAGCATCTCCAGACTGCAGGCATGTCAGCTGGCACCACAGGCACAGGACCTGGGGCCTGTCCCTTTCTGAACTGTCTTCTCTTCCTCCTGCCCCATCACAGGACTCAGGGCTCTACCTGAAGGAGCTGATCGAGCCTGTGCTGACGTGCTTTAACGACGCAGACAGCAGGCTGCGCTACTATGCCTGCGAGGCCCTCTACAACATCGTCAAGGTGGCCCGGGGCGCTGTGCTGCCCCACTTCAACGTGCTCTTTGATGGGCTGAGTAAGGTAACCACTCCTCTAGCTGGCTGGCTGTCCTCCATCACTTGCCTTACTTACCCCTTCAGGGACCTTGGTTCTTGGGGCCCTCTTCCCAAATGCAAGCAGAGCAGCCTAGCATGTTGCGAGGGACACACTCAGTGGCCTCAAATTTTTTTAATGGGCTTATGTTTACAGCCCTTTTCATTTTTCTGTTTATTCATTTTTATTGTACTTTACGAAAGTATCAGTGTTGAACATGCAGGAGGAGAAAAGCTGGTTGAGAAGCACACCACCCCCACCTCCCCGACCCCCCACCTCCCACCCCAGCAGAAGGTGAGAAGGGGGACCTGCCATCCAGGCTGGACTTCCCCTGCGAGGAGGCCATGATTATCTGGCTCACAAGTGCTCTAGAAAGAGCTGTCCTACTGCTCTCCTGGGGGCCTCCTTCAGCCCTGTGGAGCGGCCTTCCCCAGAGCCCAGAGTGACTGCAGCCCTGCTGCCCTGCTGCCCTGCTGCCCTGCGGAATGGATGCCACAAGCACGTCTCAGTACCAGCATCGCAGCCGTCCCACTCCCAGCTCCAGGAGTGAAGGGGGGCCTGGCATTTTAAGATGGGGAAGGCTTGGGACAGCCTTCCAACCAAAAGTGACCTTCTGGGCCAGACACAGCGGGGCCTGGGAGAGTGGATCTGGTGCCCCTGTTCCTCAGCCACGTTCTGTTTTGCCGCCCCTCCCCCTTCCCCAGATGTACTGAGGAGAGAGAGGTGCCCACAGGTATAAGCTGCACCACAGCGTTGGCTGTGGCTTTGCRGTGGCTCCTTGGCTTCCATCTGACTGACCATTGCCTCTGTTTCTCTTCTATTTCTGGGCCTCATAGTTGGCTGCTGACCCAGACCCGAATGTGAAAAGTGGATCTGAGCTCCTAGACCGCCTTTTGAAGGTATCTGTACTTTGTCTCCGCTTTTAGTTTTGGAATCCATTCCTTCTGTCTGTCTGTACAGCTTAGAAATTCTGTCACTGGGAGTGTTCTTTCTAAACTTAAAACATTTTTTAAATGTACATACAGTGAAGCTTACCGGTCAGTGTGCACTTCTAGGACATATGTATAGAGTCCTGTCACCCCCACAATTTAAATACAAAACTGTGACTTTCTCCTGAATGTCCCCTTGTTTTATTGCCCCCACTCAGAGCAAAGGAGTTTACATTCCACACCACTCTTCCCAGACAACGGGGGCTGGTATTGAATCCATACTACAGGGAGCAGGGTTTTGCCATTCATTTAGTTCTCTTGACCTTGATTCCTACTGTTAGTGTCCTTGTTTTGCTGTCCTTTGCACCTCTCTTACCCAGCTCAGGCTCTGTCATTTCCTTCATGGTTCCCTGACCCCTGGAACCAGCCCAGGGCCAGTAAGGCCTTGTCTGTGGCTCTCAACAGCTCATGATGCTTTGATCCACAGGACATTGTGACTGAGAGCAACAAGTTCGATCTGGTGGGCTTCATCCCTTTGCTGCGGGAGAGGATTTACTCAAACAACCAGTATGCTCGGCAGTTCATCATCTCCTGGGTAAAGCTGGGCCCTGGCACACTTCCTCCAGCCACAGAGACCCTCTGGTGGAGTCACTTCAGATCTTTGTCACACAATTGTCAGTTCCTTTGGCTACAAGAAGCCTCTTTATGATCCCTCTAATAGCCACAGGCACCTGATAATCCAGTAATACTTTATCCAGCTTACCCCAAAGCCCAACTTATGTGCCCCCAAAGGGATATAGTTCATTCCTTGTGCTGGAGAACACCCAGACTTCTGAAGCCAGTAGTGCTGCCTTCAGCTGTCGCACCTTGTCCAGCCTCGTCTGTCCTTCCCCATTCATTCCCTTCTTCCCAGGCATCTGAATCTTCTTGGGGTCCAACTGCCATTCCCCTGCGCATTAAACAAAAAGATCACTCTCACGTGAACACCTAGCAGGGCCCTGACTCGCCGCCTCTGCAGGATCCCCTTACTGCCCATGTCCCAGGGCCATGGCAAGGAGGAGAAGAGGCGCTCATCCTGGGCCAACTCTTCCTTCTCCTTCTTCCCTTGGTCAGATCCTGGTTCTGGAGTCTGTGCCAGACATTAACCTGCTTGATTACCTGCCAGAGATCCTGGATGGACTCTTCCAGATTCTGGGTGACAATGGCAAGGAGATTCGGAAAATGTGAGTGGAGGGCAGGGCAGGCAACAGCCTGCCGGACCCCTGAGGGTGCCCATGGACCCCACACCCTACTGACAGCAGCAGGAGAGCCCCAAACTTGCCCTTTTCATCCTGTGTATGTGCTTCCCTCACCTTCAAACAGTGTCTGTCCAACAAGGGTAGTAAACCCAGAGCAGAAACAGGCCCTGGTGGAGGCTCTTCCAGTCCCAGGTGACACATGCTGTTTTCTTCCTCCTTTTCTCACGGGTAGGTGTGAGGTGGTCCTTGGAGAATTCTTGAAAGAAATTAAGAAAAATCCTTCCAGTGTTAAGTTTGCTGAGATGGCCAACATACTGGTGATCCACTGCCAGACCACAGGTGAGTGCAAGAAGTTCCCATGGTCACCACCACCTCCTCAGAAGCCCCTTCTCTCACTTCTCAGCTTCAGTGAGCAGGTACAAAGGAGCCCTGGTAAGACAGGTAACCAGTGTGACACTGGATCCCAGGAGCATTGGAGTGGTAGGTCTTTATAAGGGTGAGATCCAGATTTCTTATTGATCTAGAAGTCATGTCATTTGGTCTGGGCTGGCATGTAAGATTTGGAGACCTTCTTGCTCTCAGGCTTGGCCTCCTCAGGGAGAACTGGAATGCTCAGAGTCAGGATTGTGAATCCATTAGATTCAGTTGGGCATCAAACCTTAATTGGTTAAAAAAAAATAAGTTGCTTATTATTGGTCATCAAGTCAGCTGGATGTTTTTTCTCCCCTTTGCCAGGCCTGATGGTGCACCTAGAGTCAGCTCAAGGTTGGCTGGAGCTGGGTGGTCTGGGATGGCCTCACTCATCTCAGGGGTTTAGCTAGCTATCAGCTGGGACAGTGGGGGCATTTGGTCAGGTTGTCTCATCCAGCAGGCTAGGCCAGGTGTGTTCATATGGTCTCAGTAGGGTTCCAGGAGGGGCAGAAGTGGGCAAGGTCTCTTGGGGCCTAACTTGAACCAGTCACACCTCCACTGCCATCAGATGCTCTTGGCCAGAGTAGCAAGGCCAGTCCAGAAGCAAGGGTAGGGAGATAGATGAACTGTACTTCTTGCTGAGAGGAGATACAAAGTTGCATTACAGAGAGGCAGGAAAGGAAGGGGAGAGAATCCTGGCTACTTTGACAGGCTAGGCTCGGGATTGTCACTCCCCCAATAGGTGGGCCTTTAGAAGGTGGGGCACATGCGTAAGGGAGTATTGGCAAGAACAGAGGCAGTGAAGCCCCTGCATTCCCCTGTCCCATCCTGCACTTGGGGTGGGAGGGAGCCGCCCAGCTGTTTGTGCTGACCCTTTTGGAACCCACCAATTCCCTTTTCAGATGACCTCATCCAGCTAACAGCCATGTGCTGGATGCGGGAGTTCATCCAGCTGGCCGGCCGGGTAATGCTGCCCTACTCCTCTGGGATCCTGACTGCTGTCTTGCCCTGCCTGGCCTACGATGACCGCAAAAAAAGTATCCTTCACCCTGGAGAGAAGAAATGCCGATAGCCCCAAAGGAGACTGTGAAGTGCAGGGTCCCTCGAGTGGGGAAGAAGATAGATCCCTTAGGATTCATCACATCTCCAGATAGTCCCTAGCTTCTAGGGAGCAAGAGATAGAGCTGCATGTGAATTAGGAAAGCCAGGCACGCAGAGTTAGTGATGGCTGTTTCCAGTCCTCTCCTGGTCACTTAGAGATCTAGACCAGCTCTCCTGAGCACCAAGCTCACGTTGCTGCACTGCAGGTGGGGGTAATCCTGTTAGTGGGAGAGCCACCAGGGTGGGATGGTATGAGAAAAAAAGATGAGCATCTCACAAGGCACTAGTGTAGCAAGGAGAACAGGAACTTAGGTCACACTGCTGGTCTGCTCTCTGACACAGTCCTGACACAGTCTCTGGGGAGCACTGAGCCCCTGAATAGGAAGACCAGTGGCCTCGGGTTGAAGGAGGACTCCTGCGTGTGGCTGCTCCTTACATCAGTGGACACAGGCATTAAGGAGGTGGCCAATGTGTGCAACCAGAGCCTGATGAAGCTGGTCACTCCCGAGGACGATGAGCCAGATGAGCCAAAGTCAGCAGTACAAAAGCAGACAGAACCCAACCCTGAGGACTCCCTGGCAAAGCAGGAGGGGACATCCAGTGGTGAGTGGACTGCTCCCCACCCCTCACCTTCCATGGAGGGCTCTGGAGACAACTTGCAGAGGTCCTGGGTCTTGCCTTGTGACTTCACTTACATTTGTTAACTCATTTAACTCTGATAACAGCCCAATGAAGTAGAACTGTTACTATCTCCGTTCCTCAGGCTCTGGCAGCTCGTAAGTGGTGGAATTGGAGTAGGAGCCCATGCTCTTCACCCTTACTGCCTCAAAGACCATTGCATCTTGCACTGTATCTTTTTCTGGGTTTAGCCAAAGCGAGTTGTTGATGTTTTGGAGCATGGCAGGAGTACCAGGCTACACAGTGTATTTGATTCTTGGCCATCGACAGCCAGCCGTTCAGCTGCCTCTACCACATGAGTCATTCTCCGGGAAGGAGTGTCAAGAGAACTGGTTTATTCAGTGCTTGGGAATTCTGCCCAAGTCAATGCCTTTAAAAAATACATTACTCTTGTTAGACTCTTCTGGCATTGTTTTCTTGTTTATCCATAACATAAAACCATTTTCATGCTGATTGGGGTCTGGAGTTTGACTCTAAGTGTAATCTATCACTCTGCCATCTTCATGTTTCTTGGACTCTGCCCTCACTGAGCAGTCACAGTCAACTTTTGGGTGATTTCTTCCCTTGCAGAATCAGGCAGAGAGTAAGTTGCTACACACCCTACTCAAGTCTTTAAGGTAACAAGGCCTGGAACCTGCCCCAGGAGCCAAAGAGCTACTAAAGCATTTTCTCCCATTGTCTTTCATGGACTTCTCTTAAACATCTGAACTTGTCTTGAACATCTGAGCGGAGTGTGAGACACACATGCTGCTGGGGTTTGGCTGGTAGAATTGAGCAACATTCCTTGCTGGACCTGTCTCCAGTGTCAAGTTACAACTCTGCCACACTGTTGTGAACCAGAGCTGCAAAACAGCTGGAAGCAGAGCAATAAGCAGCTGGAGCATTGGTGGTTCAGTGGTAGAATTCTCGCCTGCCACGCGGGAGGCCCGGGTTCGATTCCCGGCCAATGCAACTTCTTTATTAACCCTTTTAAGTAGTTTTTCTAAGCATTCTTCAAACAGCTGCCTGCTCAGGAAAGCATTACCCTAAACCACGATACATTCTAGCTCTGGGTTTTACTTCCCCTTAAACAGCATTTCAGCAGATGAAAAGTACACTTTATAGTAGTTACCAGGAATGGCAACAGCAAATTTGACAGCTTCTCATGCACCCTTAGCCCTGCTCAGCTCATAACTAGTCACCCATCTTTTACCAAGATGAGCAGGAGAAAGTCCCAGCAAGCCAAGAGACAGTGATGGGCAAGCTCATCCCAGCCTCCCCTACTTAGTTTTCCCTTTTTTGTTCTCACTCTTTGGGCCCTTCTCCATCTGGCTGCAACAGGATCCTCCTGACTGGTCTTCCTCTTTTAGTGTTTGTCTTCCGAGCTCAGTCTGTGCTGATGCAGCCACAGCAAATGCTCTTCAGACAAGCCCCCCACCCCCCGCACACACACACACACACAGGTGACTAGTTATGAGCTGAGCAGGGGTAAGGGTGAATGAGAAGCTGTCAAATTTGCCGTTGCCATTCCTGGGAACTACTATAAAGTATGCTTTTCATAACCTCCAGTCTCTTCCTCCTTCCCTAACCACAGGGCAACCTCTCCTTTGTGCCCCATGCTACAGCTCTCACCTGGCCCTGCCACTGGTGGTAGGGCACAGGCCCAGCCCAGAGTCCTTTCCCTACGTCTGAGTTCTTGTAGCACTTTCTATATTCAGCCTGTCATTCTTCTGACCCCCAACATTCCCTCATTGTCTCAGATGTCACAGCAAATATTCTGGAGTTCAAATAACCTGCCTGTGAGTCCTGGATCTGCTCACTACATACCTCTTCCCCTTGAGCAGCTGCTTAGCCTTTCTAAGGCTTAGGTTCCTTATTTGTTAATTAGGGTGTTAATGACAATACTTTACCATAATGTGGTTGTGAGTTTCAAACAAAATTTTTGCATGTATGGCATGTGGCAGACAGGATCAGATGCTTTAGCATTGTTGCTCCTCAGCTTGTGATAGGGTTGTGTCCCAATAAACCCATCGTGAGTTGAAAATATCATAAGTCAAAACTATATTTAATACTTCTCACTTCCCAGACATCCCAGCCTAGCCTATTTTAAACATGCTTAGAACACTTACATCAGCCTACAGTTCAGCAGAATCATCTCACACAAAGCCTATTTTATAACAACGTGTTGAATGGCTCGTGTAATTTATTGAATACTTTACTGAAGGTGGAAAACAGAATGGCAGTGTGTGGGTATGCTTTCACACCATCATAAAGTTGAAACACCATTAAGTGGAACCCTGGTAAGCCAGGGACCGTCTGTGTTAGTACAGTAAGGTACTCGGCTGGGCTTTTACTCTCTTGTTTCTTATCAGCAGCATCACCCAGCTAGTAATGGGCTCATGGTGGGTTCTGAATGAAGTCCATAGAGGGTCAGGGATAGAAGTTCATATGGCAAGTGAGGAACAGGGCTGTAAATAGGATTTCCAGTGGAGGCTGTGACCTTCATGGTGCACATATAATGAAATCTATCTATTTGCAAAGCCGAGACTGGACTGGGTTTTCAGTACCTTTTGTGGACACTGCAAGCACAGGTGGATCAGACCCCAGACCTGCCTGCAAGGAACTCGGGGACAGATACAGACAAGTGATTGTGACACTGGGCACAGTCGCCAAGGACCAAGGGCTCAGGGGAGGGAGTGTCAGTGTTGCTTGGGGTGACCAGGCCCAGCTTCAGAGGGTTTTCAAAACAAACCTTTTCTTTCTCCTTAGCTTCTACCCCCCCCATCCCCATTTTAAAAATTCTGATTATAACAGAAATACGAGTTCCCTGCAGAGATTTTGGGAAGAACAGAGAACTCACTGTACCCTCACACAGAAATAATCACTGCCACTTTGGGGGATATTTATTTTCAGTTTTTTAAAATGCATTTGCATATTGTTTGTGGCTTTTTACATTGCACTTTTTTTACAGTGTAAGACTTAGTGACTTTAGTATATTCTCAAGTTTGTACAGTCATCAGTGATATCCAATTCAAAACCATTTCCATCATCCCAAAAAGAAATTCTTTGTTGACATTCCTCATTCCCCTCTCCCAGTTCCTGACAACTCTATTCTGCTTTCTATTCCTATGGATTTACCTTCTGAACATTTCATAATTAGAATCATGCAAAAGGTACCCTTTTATATTTGGCTTCCTTCACTGAACATAACATTTTCAAGGTTAATTCATGATGTAAATTATTTCAACAATTTGTTCTTTTTTATGGCTGAATAATATAATCCATTGTATGGATAGATCACATTTTGTTATCTGTTCATCAGTCGATGGACATTGGGGTTATTTCTACTACATTTGTGGAAGTCACAAGCAACATGTATTGACTATCTCCTTTTTAGCCAACACTGTATAACTAGGCATCTTAATAAAATTGGTCTCTGGAATAGATAATGCAAATATTTCTTTTACTCGAATAAGTTTGCTTTCCTGTTAACCTAAAATACTTAAATCATTCCTTAAGCTAGATGCCATAATTCATTTAACTAACCTTCTATTATAAATCATTTAGCCACTTTTGATTTTATCTTAATCTTATAATCCTTGCTAAAAAGAGCATTTATGTAGCAAAATCTTACAAATATCCGTAATTATTTTCTAAGGATAAATTCTTAAATTTTTAAGGCTTTTGATACATGCTGCCAAATGCCTTTCAGCTTGTTTAAGCCATTTTCCAATCCTGTCCAGCCTGACATGGGCTTCAGTGGTTCCCTGGAAGAGAAACCAGGTACAGGAGCCCTGTGTCCTGGGACATGGAATCACATGGGAAGTTTTAGGGCAGGAGGGGAACACACAGTGGAATTCAGTAAGGGTACTGGACAGGGCGAGATCCAGCAGACAGGCCTGCCCTCTCAGAGCTGGCTTTTCCACTGGGGGAAGGCACACAGTGAACAAGATTGATAGCCTGGTAAGTACATTTGACAGTGTGTATCAAGAGCCCTCAGTATTTGTCCTTAGGAATTTGTCCTTAAGAAATAACTATGGATGTAGGCAATTCTTTTCTTTTTGAGAGTTTTTAAGACAGTAAATACCATAGGAAACCCCAAGCATGGAGCGGAAGGCTGCAGTATGGAGGGTGTAATTTTAAACAGGGTTGTCATGGAAGGATGTGATATTTGAGCAAAAACTGGAGGAGCCAGGGAGTGGACCGTGGATGGCAGGTGTTCCGAGGGTGGGGTGTACCTGGCAGAACCACAGAAGAGCAGAATGAATAGTCATGTACAGAGCAGAGAAGGGGCACAGTGACACCAGAGAGGAACGGGGGACCTGTTAAGCAGGCCTCTGTGGCACTGAAAAAAATCTGGCTTTTACTTTGGAGCGTATGACGACATGGTGGGTTGAGCTAAGGAACGCAGGGCCAGAACTACATTTACAAATGGTAAAGTAACTCACCAGGAAGCCCAGGCACAAGCCATGCAGCAATGTAGACAGGACACCATGGTCCTTTGCAGGGAGTAACCTTCTCAAAGGGGAAAGGTCCTCTGCGAGAGGGTTCCCCATGCAGAGTCAGGAGAAGGAGACAGGATGACTGGAGGATGGAGTCGCCATTTACTGAGGAGGGAGGAAGAGCAAGGAGCAGGTTAGTGGGAGAAGAATGTGCTGCATTTGTGACGCCTGTGAGACAGGTGAAGGAGGCCCTGGAGCAGGCAGTCTGGTGTGCGTGGGAAGGGGCTGGGCTGCTCACCAGAATTCACAGCATAGAGGCGTGCAGAGCCGGGAGGATGCCGAAGGAGCGAGTGTGGGGAGGGCGAGGAGGGCCAGGCCTGGCTAGGGCCATGCCAGCCTAGAGAATGGGGCGCTGAGGAGGAACCAGCTGAGTAGATGGGAGGACATGGCCCTGGGGCAGGAGGAAGCCAAGTGCAGATTTTCCTGGAGAAGGCAGTAATCGGCTGTCGGTCAGCACTGGCTGATGAGGAGGGTGAGGACTCAAGGGTATTGGGCCAGGCATGTAGAGCTTTAGTGACTGGACCGGCTTCAGTGGAGCCATGGGAGAAGAGGGTGACAAGAGTTGGGGGAGAGGAGTGGGCACAGCAAGGGCCAAAGTCCTTCAGAGGATTGACCTGCCAAAGGGGGCAGAGGACGGAGTGAGAGCTGAGGGGAGATGGTGAGGTCAAGAGAGAATTCTTTCTTTTCTTTCTTTCAGACAGGATCTTGCTGTGTTGCTCGGGCTAACCTTGGGCTCCTGGGCCCAAGCAGTCCTCCCGCCTCAGTTTCCTGAGTAGCTGAGACTAAGGTGCCCACCACTGTGCCCAGCTCAGGCTTTTCATTTTTTAATTGGAGAGATTTGGGCAGATATGTTAGTTTCCGGCTTCTGCTGTAGCAAAATTCCACAAGCTTATTTGTTCTCCCACTGTTCAGAAGGTCAGCATCCTAACATGGGTCAACAAGACTGTGTTCCTTCTGCATCCTCTTGGAAAGAGTCCATTTCCCTGCCCTTTCCAGTTTCTAAAGTCTACCTGCATTCCTGGGTTCATGGTCTCACCCTACATTGTCATTAAAACCCAAATGGAAGAGGCTGGCCGATGTACTGTGAGTGTAGGATCTGGGATCTGCTGCCAATGGTTCACCATTTACCAGCTGTGTGACATTCAGCCAGTTGCTTAATCTCCATGCCTTGGTGTCCCCACCTGTGAAATGGAGATAATAATGCAACTTACTGGAAGGTGATTAAAAGAACTAAAGTAGTTTGTAAATCGCCTAGAAAACTGCCTAGTACATAGGAAGTGACAGTAACAGCAGCGGATGGGCCAGTTCTTCTCCTACGCTTGCCCAGTCCTGGTACTTCTGTCCTCCCATCCATTATCCCACCTTGATTCGTTTGAAGCACAGTTTTGACACCATTATATTTCATCTCTGTGTATGTTTCTAATGTGTGTTTCTATTGGTGGAGGGAAATTTGAGGAAAAAGCAGGGCATTTGTCTAATTTCAGTTATCTTACCCAAGATACTTACTAATTATAAAGAAAAAAATGCTCCTTTTATAAAAATTCTCACAGTATCGTCATCACACCTCAGGAAATTAAAAATAAGTCCTAAATATTATCAGATATCCATTCAAGGTTCTTATTCCCTGTGGACTCCAGTTTGAGTCAGGAACTTGCTGCATACATTGTAGTTGGTTGATATGTCCCTTACATTACCTATTCTCCCCATTCCTTAAAATTTGCTTTTTCAGAAACTGGATTATTTGTCCTGTAGTTTTTTCCACTGTTTTTGTCATGATCAACTGTCCCCTGTATTCCTATTCCCCGTAAACTGTTAGAATTATTCATTCATGCTTAAGTTCAAAATTTCTTGGCAAAAATGCTTGGTAAGAAATTCTTGGGGCTGGGGCTCTAGCTCAATGGTAGAGCACTTACTTAGCACATGTGAGGCACTGGGTTCGATCCTCAGTACCACAAAAAAACAAATAAAGGCATTGTGTCCATATACAACTAAAAAATATATTTTAAAAAGTATTTTAAAAAAATAAATTCTTGAACAAGACCCACAAGCAAAAGTTATCAGCATATTTAAACATATAAAACCCTAAAAAGCTGCAGCTCAGGAGAGTATGTTGGCAATGCAGTTCACGGTCGGGGTCAATCTCCAACACAAGAAATAGCTCCTCTAAATCAGGAAGAGAAAACGCAGTGGGAGAGGAATGTGAAAGCCCATGCCAGACCCACCTTTCCTTCATGTAACAAGTGCTTCCTAGCTTTTAGGATGTGTGGGAACCATTTTAAACACCTGACAGATGTTGGCTCCTTTATTGTCCTAACAAGCCCATGGTATGGGTACTGTCATTGTCCTTATTGCCCTCAGTGTGCAGGGGAAGAAGGGGAGGCAAGGTCAGGCAGCTTGCCCAGGATCACAGCTATCTTCACGGCAGCCAGGGCCCAAACCCAGGCAGAGGGGCTCAGGAGCCCTCCTAATAAGCACAGTGTCATTCTGCAGCTCTCTTAGGCAGGGATTAATACAGAAGGGCAAAGGAGATGCTCCGTGGGAGTGGGAATGAGGATTTCAAAGGGAAGCAAGTTTTCCTTCTTGCTCCTCAAGTTGCCAACATTGAAAAGATGGCTGGTATCTCGGGGTGAGGCTTTGAGGGAGTGACTGCTCTTTCCTTTCTGGAAGCCCATATGAGTTGGTAGCAGCGTGACAATAGCTGTTCAAATACAGTAACTGAGCCTTGCCCTCAGCATTCCCATTCAACAGGGAGACCTCGTGTGGAAGGAACCATGGAGAGCTGAATGAGCAAAATGCCCAGGCAGTCCGAGTGGATCAGGGCTCGGCTCTGACGTCCTGTGACTTTACCTGTGAATGTGAGTGTTCCTGTAAGATGGGGCGAGCCTGCAGGGGCTGAGAGCCCCGGCTGCTGTTTTACCTTCCCAGGCCCTGGTCCAGCAAATCGAGCCCCTTCCACCTGAGCCATATCCCCAGAGTGCCTCTGGGCAGGTGGCAGTGCAGACCTCTGCTATTTTAAAAATAAAGGCCCCCTTTACTAAAGAAGAAGAACCATGGCCCACTCCTAGAGTGGCATTGCTTAGAGCTTTGATTTGTTTGGACTTTTTAGAATATGTTTTATTTTGTGTTATTTTAAGAGGCCAAGGCTTGTCATTTCAACAACAATATAAAGATAGTTTTTCCTTGTAGTTGAACTGAATAAATATCAGTGGATCCATAATGATATAAATAGATAAGTGAATGGATGAATGGTAGAGAAGGGAGCTTCCTAACAGAAGAATCCCACTTAATAAAAGGAAAACAGAAACCACATTAGGCAATGCTACACTGGTATTTGTTATAGGCAGGCTCCACCAATTGATGCTACAATCAACTGGTGGAAGGATGTTTGAGGGAAAAGCAGGACATTTGTCTGATTTCAATTATCTTCCCCAAGATACATACTAATTATAAAGAAAAAAAGTGGCTTCACAGGGAGAACCCCAGCAGACGCTGCCTCCATCCAGTGATAAAGTCAGCCTCAACAGTGAAATAGGCCAGAGAGACACCATGTGGCCCCTGATAGGCTGCACTGTAGGTCCAGAATTTCCATAGCATTCTTTAGAAGAAATGACTAACTTTAGTCCACTCAGGAAACATGAGAAAAAAGCAATCAGAGAGACATTCTGCAAATAACTGACCCGTACCTCAAAGGTGTCTATGTGAGAAAAGTGGTTATATTCAAGTTAGGTGTGTAGTGGAGTCTGCTACCAAAATTCCCCAATTAGGAAAATAGATAATAGGATCTAGATCAGGCAGTGTAGATGTTATCAGTCCCACTTTATTGATGCCTATTCTGGACATTTCCTTTAAATGGAATCATAGGGTGTGATCTTTCACTTAGAATAGTGTTTTCCAAGTTCATCCATGTTATGACATGTATCAATAACTTCATTCCTTTTTACTACTGAGTAATACTTCATTTTATTTATCTATTCACCAGTTGATAGGCATTTGGGTTGTTTCCATTCTTTGACTATTGTAGATAATGCTGCAGTGAACATAAAGTACAAGCTTCTGTGTCTTGGAGTATATGTAGGAGTGAAATTGCTGGTTCACATGGCAACTTTATGTTTAGCTTTTTGAGGAACTGCCAGGCTGTTTCCCAAAGAGACTGCATCATTCTCTAGCCTCTCTAGCAATGTGTAAGGGTTTCTAGTTCTCCACATTCTCACCAACACTTGTTATTATTATCTTTCTTTTTTATTTTAGCAATACTAGTGAGAGTAAAGTGGTATCTCATTGTGAACTTGATTTGAATTCCCTGATGGTTAGGGATGTGAAGTATCCAAAAGTCATTTAACATCCATTGCTCTCAGGCCAGCACTCCCTTCTAAAATACTGTGTTTAGCCCTGGTTTCCCCACCTTGTGAGTTCTCTGTTCCTAGAAGCTTACAGGTCTGGGTACTATCCCAAGAGCTGTGGGGAGTGAGTAGGCTTGGGTCTTCATCACTCCAGAGCCCCGCTCCTTTTCAGGAGCCTGAATCAGTATGTGGGGCTGGAGAGGAACATCTTGAGTGTCCCTGTAACCAAGATCTAATTTCTTCAAAAGAACAAACAGCCTTTCATGTCATCTTGTTCCTCTTCCTGTCCCAGGAGGTCCAGATAGTTCCTGTGACTCCAGCTTCAGTAGCAGCATCAGTGTCTTCCCTTCAGCCTGGTAAGTGACCTGTTCCAGCCAGAAGTGTTTGTGGAAAGCAAGAGGCCTACATCTTTCCTGGGTGCAAGAGACTGTAGTGAAGACCCAAGGCAAAATGCCTAAGGCCAGTATTTTGGGGGCACCATGTCCACACAGGAGCTAGTCAGTGAGGGGACCTGAAGGACACTGGGCGAGCCCACCCTACCCAATTCCTATGGACAGATGGTCTTCAGTGAGGAATTAGAAGCTATTTGGTGTCAAAAACTGCAGATTTTAAAAGTACAGCGAATGCATATGGTGCCAGCAGTGGGATACTTGCAGGTGCCTCTTCCCAGCACCTTTTGCTTTCCCAGAAGTTGACAAGACCAATGAGCGGAAATCTTTTGGATGACAATCTGGGCACAGGCAGGTGTGGGCCCCAAGGCTACTGGTTAGACTATAGGCCAAGAACTGTCCTCAGAGCTCCCAGGGTACTGTCATAGCCCAGCCTTCCACAAGGGGGCAGTGCAGCCAAGCAGCAAAATATTTGCCTTCTTGCCAATTCTACTTCTCCCTATAGGATATGAGATCCTCTGTGGAAGGAACTATCACTGTTTTGTCCTGATCTTGGTCTCCTGGACCTGCCCCCATCACTGTTCTTTGGGTGGCTGGACTGGGTATGCGTTTCTTCCTCTGAATGTGGTGTTGAATCTGGTCTGGGGAGTCAGTCACTCATGAAGAGAAAATAGGCACTTAACCCCAAGATCCTTTGAATTTTCCCTTATTTTATTTTAATTTTTAATTTATTTTGATCTCTGAGGACCTGAGCATGTTTTCCAAGAACACACGTACTGATTATAAACTTGCACCCCTACGGCCTCTCCCACAGTGGACAGCAGGTTGGGAAATACTGGTCATTCACTTGATTCTAGTTGTCATGCATTTCCAGAGCACCTGCCTATGCACAACCCCACAAATTCTAAGATAAAGAAAGGCCACTGGAGGTGCCCCTGAACTTGAGGCAAACAAGTAGCCAGGAAGTTACCAGAAAAGGGAGCAAATGCAGAAGGTGTTGGGAAGACAAGTCATGCTAAGGCATGAGGAGGCTCATGGCAGTGAACCCAGCAGGTGCTTCTGACGCCCAGCCCTGTGCTATATCCTATGTTGGATTGCTTTGATATGCTTATATTTCGATTCCAGAGTCAGCAACATTATCTCTATTTTAAGGACAGGAAAGAGTGGGAGAATAGGAGCTACAATGTAGAGAATGGACTTTAGGTAGGGTTCAGGTGGGCATAGATGGGCTGCGGAACCACCACATTCGCATGGATGTGAAGGAGCAGTGGCTTAGACTGAGAAGAGGGCAGTATTTGAAGGTGGAATTTCCAGAATTTGCTGATGGATGAAATGGAATAGAAGGAGAGTGGTGAGGGAAGAATAATTTCTAGGTGTTTAGCTTGGGCCAAACTTAGGATATCCTAGTTTACTTCCAAGTTGGGCTGGGAGAGCAGGTGTGAGTGGGGTGGTCCAGTACTCTGTTCTAGGTGGCTCTGAGCATACCCAGGAGAGGTTGTAAAGGTGGCTGGATTCTGGAGCTCAGGGTAGAGGTAAGAGCAAAGATGTAGGAGACCCAAGAGTCCTGCAGAGGGTTCGGCTTTGGTCTTAGAGGCTGTGAGAGGCAGTGTTGTAAGTTGGAGTGACAGGTTCAGATCTAGGATTTAGAAGCTCACTCTAGCATTAGAAAAGCCTATTGTAGGCTTGTCACTTTAATCTGGGCTACACAGATTGTCACATTTTGAGGGAGTGGTGGTAAGATGTAGGGGGAGGGGAAGGAGAGGCAGAGGTGGCATAACTGATGGACTGTGAAGGTGGCATGACCCTCTGCAGCCTCGCATGGGAACCTGTGCTGCCCTCGCTGGGACAAGCCTACAGGAGGCCTTCACTCCTGTGCTTAGGCAGGAACCACCTAATTGGAGCCCCATTTGGGTTTATACCTGTCATTCAGGAGCCACTGCTGAATCCTACCCCTTTAACATAAAAAAAAAACCAGACCAAGAATCAGTCATTTAGGGCCTGGGGCTGGGGCTCAGTGACAGAGTGCTTGCCTCGAACACATGAGGCCCTGGGTTCAATCCTCAGCACCACATAAAAATAAATAAATAAAATAAAGGTATTGTGTCCAACTACAACTAATAAATAAATAAAACAAAACAAAAAAGAATCAAGAATCAGTCATCTAGCACTTCTGACTCCTGTGGTGGCAGCAGAGCTCTCTGAGCCACCAGCCATGCTAGGAGGAGAGCAACCCTGCTAGTTGTGAAACCAGAGCTGGGGGCTCAGGCCTACCGCCTTCTTCCCCCAGTGACACTGCCAAAGGAGACCGGCTTGGGCAGAACGGCACCGTCCAGAGTGACACAAAACAGAACTCACACTGCCACTGTCCAGGTGCGTCGCTTGCCCGAGCACCACCTGCTGTTGCCAGTTCCACTCAGTTCTCGCCAGCCAAGGGCAGCAGCCAGAGTGCAGACTCCTCCAGGAGCAGAAGGCATTTCTGCCTGGCAAAAACTGCCAGCAATGTGATGGTCCTCAGTCTTCGTGGTTTTGGGCCTAGGAGAGTCCAAGGAAGGTTGTGGATCCCCTTCCTTTAAAAATGTACGTCCAAAACTGAACCCGCTTTCAGGGGCTCAGGAATCTCCTTGAAGACAGTCCCTATACCCCAGATTAGAAAAGAAAAAAGGGATTCCTCACTTGGACTAAAACACAGAGAGAAATCACCAGATCAACTTGAGACCATGAGCCTCCTCCCTTGTCCTCATCTGCCCTCTCTCCTGGGACGCTGCAAAAGCCCTGGAGTCCCAAGCCTAGTCACCTGGGAGAAGTAGTGGGTGATGGAGTCGCTTTCAGTCTGGGGAAACAGCCGCCTTATCTCCAGTTAGAGGATTCAGATCCTCCATCCTCCAAAGCAAGGGAAGTTCTCAGAAAGTTGAAAACTGACCTCCCTGGGGAGGGTCGGAAGAGAAGAAACAAGATGGAGGAAGCATGCTTGAAGCGAAGGCAAGGGTAGAGAGAGGAGTTGCCGCCACTGTCTTTCTGCACGCTGGGCACACTCCTCCTGGGAGAGCTCGGGGTGGTGAGCCGCAGGAGTATGAGGTATAAATGAGTTGAAGTCATGAGAAGCAAGGAGCAGCACCTGGCACACAAAAAAGCTAGAACCAGTTCTCTAGCACTTTCTGACTCCTGGTGGAAGGAGATCTTGTGGCAGCAACACTATCTGAGCCATGGTAAAGAGTCTTGGCTACACTTTTATCCCCTTTGTACAAATGAGGAGACAGACCAGAGAGACTGACTTCTTGCCCAAAGCCAATCAGCTAGTTAGTGACCAAGTTGAAATGCTAGCCAGGTTTGTCTAGCTCCAAATTCCCTGCAGTTAGCTTTGTTAGTCATGGTTAGAGAGTTCCAGAAGTGTTTCAAGTTTGCCTCCCTGACTCACTTGACAGGGGCTCTTGAACAGGTTTGCCGCGTGAACAGTATTCCCTCTAGCAGCCAGGGTTTGCCAAGAGCCATGGTGTCATCGGTGATATTCAATACAGTTCTCCTGGTAGAGCTGACTGCCCTATGTGTAAGCAACCAGAAAGACCTAGGAGTCCGTGCTTCTCAACTTTAAGTAGCTACTGATTGAAAAAATTACATGATGATCGTGTATTTAAAAAAGGCAACTTCGAATTCAGAAACAACTCTGTTTTTAGATTTGTCTGTTTTCTAATTTGATTAGAGATGTAACACATGTACCATAAAAAGTGAGCCATTACAGAGATAAAGTGGTGTCTCCCAGTGAGAACCATGGGGACAGATTATTATTCATTGGTACTATCAGAAGCATTATTTGGGAAGTCTGTATTTTAAGCACCATGTGCTTGGAAATTGTAGTGCATATGTGTGCAAGACACTCGTTATGAGATGCTTTATGAGAAAATGCTTGGTGAAAATGGGGTTTTGCAGACACCTTGAAATAACTCAGAAGCCCCCAGGAGTGGCTTGTCTAGACTTCTTGGAACCGATGTAGAGATGTATTTTAAACCTTGCCTGAGCTCCCTTCTGTTCTTGATGGGTAAGGTTAGCCAGGGCGGAGGGTGCCACATCTGACTTCAGCCAAGCAGAGAGGAGCTGAGCACAGTACCCTGTGTTCCCCCCTGAGTTTGCGCAGAGCTCAGAGGAGCCAGCCCCGCCCAGTGGAGCAGCTGCCTGCTCAAGGGCATTTGGGATCCTGATCCACCCTTTCCCCACTGCTGAGATCAGTCTCAGCCCAGTCAGTCACCTGCTTCTCCTGACCTTCATCTTTAATTAGCCAAGGGAAGAGACCCAGGGAGGATGTCTCCAGCCACAGGAATGAGCTCTTGGTACTTAGCCTTTTGGCCTTGGCCAGTCTCTGGCCTCTGCACCCAGGATTGCTCATCGGTGCACTGAAGGATTGAGTTGCATCAACTGTGAGGTCCCTTTTAGTTTTAAAGTTCTTGTGGATTGAGGACAATACCTGTCTCACTATCAGTCCAAAGACACCCCTACCCAGGGAGGTGTGCTGTGGTCGGCATTTGCTGTGGGGAAGGCCCTAGAATGTCAGTACATACAATGCTGCCAGTTCACACATGGCTCCATGAAGTCCTTCCTTTATTATGTGGCCCTGACACAATGCCACCTGAAAGAGATGCCACCATGGCTGGCCGGAAGCATCTCAGGTCTACCAGTAGTTGGAGCTCTGCCTTTCTCCCCACATGGAACATTTGACTGCCCTTCCAGCAAGAAATTACACTGGAAAGTGTGAGATGAACTTCTTCCCCCAACACCAGGTGCTACCAGGTCTTCCCTGGCCAAAGAAGGACTGTGTGCACTGGAGCTGCTTTTATCTGTCCCTCCCTAGATATGGTTGAGGGTGACGGTGCCATGATCTCCTGAGCCTGCCACCCCTGCTAGAAGATAGTGCCATGTGGTGGGTAGGTCCTCTCTGGAGTCAGACTACTCAGATTCAAATTGCTGGCACCACCATTTCTTGGCTATGTAACCTTGGCCAGGTCACCTAATGTCTGTGCTTCAGTTCCCTTATCCCCAGAGTGGAAGTAACATGACTTAGCCATAGGGCTGCAGAGAGAACAACATGGGGCTTGCAGATAAAGTGCTGCACAGAATGTTGGTCATTACCATGCCTGTTACCAAAGCCCTTACTCCCCCCAGCTCCAAGGTTATACAACCACTGACCTGCCTGGAGGTGGGGGTGGGGTGTGGAGCCTGGCCTTGTCCCCGCCAGCAGCTCTAGGGCAAGGCCATTGCTAGACCCCTGCAGTTCTGAATCCCCCAGGTAAATCAAACTTACAAGGCCTTCCTCCAGGGGGCTAGTTCTGCTGAGATGTGGCAGTGGTCTTCCAGGAACAGGGTACTCCTGACACCTGGACACCATGTAGCAGCAACCTTCAATGGCTCCTGCTAGAAAGCCACTAGCCTTGCCTCAAGGCGCAGGGTCCAGAAAGGAAAGGCTAAGTGGGGGTGGTCTCCCTCACAAGTTGTGTGAAGCCCTAGGTTGCTGTGAGTGTCTCTGCCTCCGAGACAGTGCTGCTCTATCCATGAGATTCCGGCCCCAGGAGAAGAGCTAAGCCCAAGGGGACACACAGGAAGGAGCTCTGTAGGACACCAGCCCCGCTAGGGAAAGAGAGACCTGGAGATAAGACAGGGAGTGCTGGCCATAAGCAAAGGGAGAGGGGCTGACCATCAGGAACTTATCAGAGCTGATAAGGAAATGCTGAGGAAGCCCTGGTGGGATTGCTGTGCTGGCTGCAGAGCACCTGATATGTAGCTGGTCCAATCTGGGATGGGTTGTGAGCAGAAAATGCCACTGGATATCAAAGATGAGGACACCAAGAACAACCTGAAGTGTCTCATTAGTAATCTTTATGTTCATTATATTGATTGTATGTTGAAATGCTGATAATTTGGATATATTGGGTTAGTTAAAATTAGTTTCACCTGTTTCTTTTTCCTTTGATATTGGTACCAAGGATTGAACCCAGGGGTGCTTAACCATAGCCACATCCCCAGCACATCCCCCTGCCCCAGCTTTATTTTTAATTTTATTTTTTTGGTATGGGGACTTTCTCTTAAGTTTTGAAGAGTTTTCTCTGAAGCTGGCTTTGAACTTGTGATCTTCCTGCCTCACCCTCCCAGGCTGCTGGGATTACAGGTGTGTGCCACCATGCCCAGCTCCTTTTCAATTTAAAACTAGAAAATGTAGAATCCCGTCTGTGGCTCACCTTGTGTATCTTGGACAGTGAGCACAAGAGATCAAGTACGGGCCTGCGCCTGCCGCCCTGGACCCATCTGCACTTTGCTTTCCCTGTGTCTTAGGCTGCCACAGCATTTAGATGTTTTGATATCCTCAGATGACACTAGGAATTTCCAGCCACATGACTCCTGAGGAAATCACAGAGGCTGCTCCCCTCCTCACAGAGGCTCCATTCTGGGCTCTGTCACTATGTCACACCCAGATTTCCTGGCCCCCTGAGTATGGACATGCCCATTCTCACCCCTGAAACAGGCTCTGGGGGGCCATCAGATTGTATTAAATAGCAATTCTGCCTAGCCGTTGCAGAGCTCAGAATCCTACCCTGTAGAAGCTCACATCACATGAGCCTCGGAGAGGCTGCAGGCAAATGAGGAAAGCACAGCCATCAAGTTCCCGGTGCAAATGAATAATTGAGCAGCCTGGAAATGCCACGAAAGACCATTTTGTACAGATGGGCACTGGAACTGCCTGGCCCCAGTCCCCAGGAAACGACCAGCATTGTCATGTCACTTTTGGTAAACGTGGTGCAGGGCATCAGGAGGAGGGGAGCCCCCTTGCCCCTAAGGTTTCCTACCTGTGCTGTGCCCACCCTGAAAACCCACCTTCTGCAGGGAGCCATGCTTTGGGCAGAGCTAACTCTGTCTCCCAGCAGTGCTCAGCCACCTCTTGGGTGCTTGGTAGGACTTTCTTGAAATGGAGACCAGCAAGGATTCGGTCCATGGGAGCCAGGGGGCTTCCTGTACCCGAGTGGACACATTCTGAGTCCTCTTGTATCTCAGGCAGAGACTCTGTGTCACCTCTTCCCCTACTCAAAAGAGAACATTTCCATTTCAGAGGCAACTCAAGGCTTCTGCACCAGGCAGATCTGTGCCAGGTGCAGTTGTGGTAAGAGGACAAGCCACAGTCCTTGTACTCAATCAGGAAACCGTGTTCCCAGTGAAGGGCTTGTTGGATATCAAGGGGTGTTATGGGGCCCTCCCTTGTACCGTCTGGACACAGGGGTTTTGCATCATCAGCAAAACATCTGAGGTGCCAAACAGTTCAGGTCATTAACTGGCCAGTCAGCCCAGAATCCAATGGGGGCCAGCTTCATGTACAAGCCAGGCTAGAACTAGAAAAAGGAAGGGAAGGTGAGCCGGAGCCCAGGAGGCCAGCCTCCCTTCCCACATGTGGGTAGCAGAGCTCCAGCGAGCAATAAGCTCCATACTCCTCAGGAACAGAAGGAAGTGGAGAGAGAAAAGCAAGGCCCCTAGGAGCCCCCATCACCAAGGCAAGTGATGATGTCTTGGTCTCTGCTTGGGTCTGCCTTCTGTGTCCCAGGCAGTGGGGTAGGATGTGTGGTCCTGACTCTGCAGGCCCAGGGGAATGCTATGACACAGGAGTGTAAGACAACATGAGCTTCACTTGGTTTTCTCTCCTGGTTTTTGCCCTTAGCACTGACAGGGCCCCGGTGACCCTGCACCTTGATGGGATTGTACAGGTTCTGAACTGCCACCTTAGTGACATGGCCATTGGGATGATGACCAGGATTGCTGTTCTGAAGTGGCTCTACCATCTCTACATCAAGACCCCCCGCAAGGTGAGCCCAGCCAGCCCTCCAGGAGGCAGCTCCCTACCAGGGAGTTCCTTCCAAGTCCACCTTGGTTTTCAAGAGGCTCCCCATGCTTGGGAGGGTTTGGGTCATTGCACTTCTGGAAAAACCGTGGTGAGCACAAGAGTGAAAGATGGCATGAGGGACCCTCGTTGACTTGGGTGGAGGGAGGTGGTCTCTGCAGGCCCCAGGATGCTATCTGAACCAAGCTCAGTTCTGGAGCAAAGGGAGACCTCAGCAGTGACCCCTTTTTTGCTCTCCAGATGTTTCGACACACAGACAGCCTCTTCCCCATCCTACTTCAGACGTTATCGGATGAGTCTGATGAGGTAAGTCACAAACACCAGCTTTCTTTTTTGATGACTTGTGCGGTCAAACAGCTATGATGTTCTTGTTTGGTTGATGTTGTGCTCTCAAATCAACACCAAAAAGTTGACTTAGAGGTAAAGCTGTGCTTAGTGTGCTGGGCTTTGTCAGTAAGGACGCTTCTGTAGGCCTTTCTGGAGTACTCTGGGACAGATTTCAGGGAGAAGGTGAGTTTGCATACTCTTAGGAGTTGATATGTCTTCTCTGGGAGGTGACTAGTGGCAGGGACCCTGGCTGTAGGGTCAGGCTCCTTGGGGGCAAGGTCTGGCCCTGCTTTGCTGCCCACACTTAACATCTGTGAGCCTTCTTTCCTGTCAGTGTCCAGTGAGGGTAGTGACAGTACCTGGTGTATGAGAAAAAAGTGACCTGTGTAAGATGCCACATGCTGAGTGTGCGCATTAGTTGTTCGGCTGCACCCTACTTTGACTCCAGTTTTAATTGGTCCCTTAAGCCTTGCTTTGTTGGGGACACCAGGTGCTGCTGGTGTGATAGGGAAAGGCTAGCCCCAATTCCAGGCTGCAGGAGCAACCCCCTGGTCTCTGAAAGGACCAGCAAGCAGAGGCTGGCCCGGGGAACAGGGTGCCCCAGGGTCCTCTGTCATCTGTAGCTCTCCAGCTGCTCAACATTACCCCACTCACTCTTCCCGTGGAGTCAGGACAGAGTAATTCTTTTCAGGGCTCCCCTGCCTCCCAGCCAAGAGGCAGGACTTGTAGTTGGACACCCATTTGCACAAGCAGCATCCCATTCTTCCATATCAGCTCTTCAGGATGCTGATGGTCTGAGCTGACTTTTCCCTGTCTTTTCCTCTTCTGGGCTCTAAGTTGCTGTGGGCAATAGGCAGCACCATGTCTCCATGCAGCAATAAATGTATGCATCAACAGACCTGCCTGCCCACACTGCCCAGTAAGAATGTGGGAGTGGACAGGTTGGGGCTGGGGGGTGGAAGGAAGAAGGGCATTGCTACAGATACTTGCAGTGAGGCAGCTCAGGTTTCCTTGGGCTGGTACAGGCTTGCAGCCTGAATTTACTTTCCTGAATCTAGACCAAAGAAAGAAGCAGACAGACAGGTATCATCTTATAGATCCTCTGAGGTTCTCTGCATTTCCAGGAAAATCCCAAACAGATGGTCTGTGAGTGCCCCTGGCCTTTCCTGCTTGCCCACCCCGACACACATCCTTTGCTCTCCCCCCTGCACTGCCGCCCTGCAGTACCCGGCCCAGGTGGACACGGCCCAGTTCTGCCTGCAAACTAGGAGTGACTCACTGCAGAGCCAGGCCCTCCTTTCAGTAAGAAAAGACGAGGAGAGCTGCTGATTGGTGCTTTGCTGGGACTTCACTGGAAGCAGCTGAGTTTTCAGTCCTTTAAATTGAGTTGTTTAATCCCATCCAGCTTTCTTTGCTTGAAATTGGCTTTCTTGTGCTTGTGCATTCAGAGGCAGGGAGAGAGGCTTGGGGGGTGGATGCAGCCCATTAAACTGCTCTGTTCAGGTTGCGGCAATGGAAAGTGGATTTGCTGAAGTGCCAAATGTTGTCAGGGCTTTGGGGCACATCTTGTGGGCCTCATGGGAGGAGGATTGAAGCTGCTCTTGGGGACAGTTGAGGAGATGCTGTGACAGGAAGGAAGAGTCTCTCTTTCCTATCTCTGGAGGACAGATTTGGGGACCTTGATAATCATTGGTGAGTCATGATTCTGCCACATCCTGGTTCTTCTCCAGAATACCTTTCCTAAATATCCCCCAGCCTCACTGACTCTGTGGACCCTTGGCAATGGGAGTACAGCCACAGATAAGACAAAGTCCTTTTCTCCTAGGACTTCCCTTGAAGGATATATGGAAAGTGTTCTCTGGTAGGTTTTTCCAAATGTCTTTATGCACAGCTCTTGTGTCAAATTGGAGCTGGAACCATGTCAGACCCTTGTGTTGTAGTAGCTCAAGAGCCCTCACAAAAATCCTGTGAGAGTTCTGTTATTTTCATTGGACAGGTCAAAAAACTAAGGCCTGGGGCTGGGGTTGTGGCTCAGCGGTAGAGCACTCGTCTAGCACGTGCTAGGCCCTGGATTCCATCCTTAGCACCACATAAAAATAAATAAATAAAGGTTTTGTGTCCAACTATAACTTTAAAATAAACAAACAAATAAATAAATAAACTAAGGCTTGGAGCTGGGGTTATAACTCAGTGGTAGAGCTCTTGCCTAGCACATGTGAGGCTTTGGGTTCCATCCTCAGCACCACAGAAAAATAAATAAAATAAAGGTACATAAAAAACAAAAAACAGCCGGGCATGGTGGCGCATGCCTATAATCACAGCAGCTCAGGAGGCTGAGACAGGAGGATCACAAGTTCAAAGCCAGCCTCAACAACAGCAAGGTGCTGAGCAACTCATTGACCCTGTCTCTAAATAAAATACAAAAAAAAAATGGGGCTGGGGTTGTGGCTTAGTGGTCAAGTGCCCCCGAGTTCAATCCCCTTACCTGGCACCCCCCCCCCCCACACCCCCTCCCCCGCCCCCCCCCCCCCCCCGCCAAAAAAAAAAAAAAAAACTAAGGCCTAGGAAGGGTAAATAACTTACACAGGAAGTTCTTGAAGCCAAGCTCAAAGCCAGGTCTGTTTGACTCCAAAGCCTGTCCCCTTTGATTGCTTATGACCAGGACTAGTCTGTCATCCAGTGCAAAACCAGCTGGGGAGATGGGGAGCCTGGATGGAGTTGTAGCGTCCCCATTTCCTCCAGATTTCTCCAGGGGGTTTTCTGGCTTTTTTCTCTTGTCCTGGAAGTTCTTAAGAAAAGGTCCCAGCTTGGTGAGGAGGGGTGGATGTGTGTGTGTGTAAACAAAACGCCAGGCGCCGTGGCACACACCTATAATCCCAGAGGCTAGGGAAGCTGAGACAGGAGGCTCACAAGTTCAAAGCCAGCCTCAGCAACAGTGAGGCACTAAGCAACTCAGTGAGACCCTGTCTCTAAATAAAATACAAAATAGGGCTGGGGATGTGGCTTGGCAGTTGAGTGCCCCTGAGTTCAAAAAATAAAATAACCCCACCCCCACCTTTAGCCCTCAAATCTTTTGTTCACTTTTCCTATTGATTATAGAAGCTGTATATTTAGGACCTTCCATTTGTTACCTCTGTTGCAAAGGTCTGTCTCTCATATGATGGCTGTGATTAGCCCACATACTCCTCACTCTGGCTTAGAGTCACTGGTCTCAGGGGATTGGATGTACCCAGGTGTTAATGATGCAAGAGCCAGGCATGGAGAAGGCAGAGTTCAGAGGCCTACCTCTGCCTCCACTGTGTTCCACAGCCCCACTGGCACATGGCCTAGCTGGCATGTCTCATCTGCCATGTTCCTCAGTTCTGCCCAAGTGACAGCTTGGTAGGCCACACCCTTTGGCATCTTCTATTGTCTCTGCTCTCCGTTACTCAGGATAAGTGGCTGTTTCCTTAGTACCACCTGCTTCTGTAGACATTATCATTCTATCATTGTCAGAAAGAATTTGCAGGTGTCAAATTAATATTCTTGGCACTGGAATAGAAATCATCCCATTAGCTAGAGATACAGTTTTTTAAGTGAAAACGTGACCCTGATTTCCCCAGCATGGAATTCAGGGCGCATGCTCAGAGCTTCCTTTTGGACCCTAGTGGTAGGGATACTGCTGCATCCCCTGCCCAAAAGATGCCGTTTGTCAGCTGCCTCTCATGCTAGGCAGCTGCTGCCTGAGAGTGAGCACCCACAGGATGGGGTCATCTCCACATTCCCAATGGTGGGGCTGGCCTGAGAGGGCCATAGGTGACCCTTTATTCCCAAGCATAAGTGCCTCCTAACCTGCATTTAAAATTCTCAGGGTGATCACAGTCTCAAAAGAGACCTGGAAGGATATTTGTCCTCTTTGAGTGAATGTGGACACCATGGACAGAATCTTTGCTCTGGCCCTTCCTTACCAGGGTTCTTGAGTGAAAAGTTAACCTTGCTGGACCCCTAAAGTGGGAATACTGATGTCTAACCTGCCCTATAGGCTACTTACTGGTCACATAGGAAATATAAAGCACCCAGCAGATCTGCCTGCTGCATCCACCCATCTGTCCTCACAAGTTCACCTAGGGAGTAACTGGCCTCTCACCACATCCCAGTAAGCCTCAGGTCTTTTCTGTGGGTCTCACTCACTGGTTATGAAGGTAACTCTCAGTATTTGCATTTCCACTATGATTTAGGATGATCCCTTTCTGATGGTGCTCTTTCCCCAGGTAGTAGTATAGCCTGGTGGCTGAGAACATGAGTTTGGGGCTAGCTGGTCCAGGAGTTCAGTCCCGGCTCTATCACTTAATGATAGGTTGACCTCAAGCAAGTGACCTAGCCTCTCTGAGCCTCAGTTTCCTTATCCATAACGGGAGACTACTAAAGGGCCCTCCCTCTCAGGTTGGTTGGATTAATTAGGTGAGATTATAGACATCAAATGCTCATCCAGCAGGCATAAACTAGGGTAGTAGAGGGCTCCTCTGATGCTGGCAGTCATCTCTGTAGAGGGCTAGGAGCCACATACTGCAACCAGCAAGATGGCCCCATGTCTGCCCAAAGTGAAAGCAGTGAAAGCCAGGATAGAGGCCACTCTCTCCTGTCTTGAAAGGCCTAAGGAGCACAGTGGTGTTTGAGGGACTTGAATTTCATCTCCAGGTCTTAGAAAGCCAAGCAGGGGACAAAGTGGGCATCTGGGCTAGTGCCCCTCCATGTCCTTCCCACCCTCCCCCAGAGCAGGAGCGCAGCGGCGCCAGCCTACTTCTTCGGATCCCTGTGTTCAGCATCTTCGCAGCGACTCTCCCCTGACTCACAGGGGGACGGGCTCCAGCTGGCTGCCCTGGTCCAGGGGGAGGAGGAGAAAGGGCATCATCAGCAGAGGCTGCTTCAGGGCCTCTGCAGCCACAGCCTCTTCTTCGGAAACAAAATTCAGACCAGGAGACAAGTCCCGCTGGGCCCAG